AGGGCTGTGACAGGAGTTGGGTTTAACGAGCCGCTTTATGCAGATCCACCTGATGGTCACCACATTCAGAGGGTTCGTACCCTGACCTGTTGTTCCTCTGTAGCCCCCCTGTGATATGATTTATCCAGGCCTGTTTGAGTAATGAGCCTCACTGCTGAATTCTGTTCCCTGGATTTCTGTCTGTTTTTCTACCAGTGGCCAGAGGCAGCACTTTTTGTGTCCATTTGTTTCACGTTATCTTTTGAGTGTGCCGTCAAGAATTGTTGGGGCTTGTATCTCTGTTTTTTTATCTGTCTGCTTCAACTCAAACCACAGTTAAAGCCTGCGCAGCTACGATGAAATAAGTTCACACAGCCTGCTGAATCAGTGTAAAAAAACCTAAAAACCAGGCTGTCTTTTTTTGTGCATTTAATATGCAGCTGTACAAGTGATGCAACAGTGTGCGCCTGCACAGACATGAACGGGCACTTGTGTTGTTATTGGAGCAAACTTTCCATGGCCTCTGGCTTGTTTTGAGTGTCAATATAAGCATTTACAACACAACTGCTGTCATTGATTTGTATTCATGTTGTAAGACAACTTTGTGAGGATTGAACAGCGATTCGATCGACTCTCCCAGTGCAGCAGGACAGAAATTATTGTTGACCTTGGAGAAGAAAGTGCAATCAAATCACTATTTTACGAAGTGTTTAGGTTTCTGATCGAAGAAACAGAAAGATATGTTAGTGTGAACAACAAAACAGTGTGTTTTGCTTTATTGTTACACACTGTACTGCCCTACAAAGACTGACTGCAGTAACTAGGGTAACACTGAAACTAAAAAAGAATAGTCATAGTCATTTTGATGCCTAAAAAAGATCAGTTATTTTACCTATGACCTGAAAAATGCACCTAAGTTGTAGTTACTGCACTCTGCCTTTGTATAAAGCTTTGTATAGCTTTATAGGTCATGCAGAAGCAAAGTGCAGTAGGTACAATTTTGGAGGAAAACTTTTAATTTCTTACTAGATTTAATTTGTTTTATTTATTTTAAAGATGTCTGTTTTAAAGGTAGTAACAGAGAGAACTTAAAGCAACCCTCAGGGTATTATTTTGTTGTATTATTCACTTCATCAGGTTTGACCTAATTTAAGATTACTTGACATCATCGTCTTCATCTTCATCACTAATCTTGCTAAGGCCAGTGTGACATTACCAGTTATTTTGTCACTGGCATCATCCTCATTCTCACATTCACCATTGGCCGTAATACACCTACTGTGATTTTCCTTGGCCTGATAGATTCCCAAATAACGCAGTAACACCATTTACTGCAGTTTGCTGTGGGTTTTGGTTGGATTTTGTACTTACTGCAATATTTACACCCTGTTTTCTCTAGAATAACACAAGGTCAACCAGATTAGGTCTTCACTGTTCTTTCCGTGCCCATGTGTGTGAGATGCATGATCGACCGTCTTGGCTGACTGTGGAGGCGAAACTAAAATCTAGTCTTTTGTTATTCATGCGCACTGTCATCTTAAAAAATACACAGTTTTTTGGTAACAAACTAGTATATAGTGGTTTTTGTCATGGGTATGTGACACGTCAAGTGGGCACTGGGCCCTCTGGTGGCATAGAGTTCAGGTTAGCTTTTGTAGGGCAGTATATGTGATGGAGGCCACAGAAAACCATGTTTAAAATAGCTAAAATCAAATGATCATGTTTATCTGATAATGGACATTTTCCAGAGCTTTCAGCCACATCTCATGACTTTCATCAGCACTTTGAGTTTATGACCTAAGTGTGGTATTTTGGTTGCTTGATAACGTTTTTTGTATATCAGAAATTTATGGGCAGTATACTGTGGTACGTGGACATTGTGCTGAGATTTTTGTGCCCTTTGTCAAGCTTTTTTTTGTTGTTGTTTTGTTTTGTTATATGTTTCAGAGAAGTGTGGTAAATAGTGTGAATGTTGATTTCAGATTGTATTATTACATGTTGTGGACATGACCTGGGTTTAACCCCTATTACACATGGATCCCACAACACCACTTAAAGGGTTTTGTTTTGAGTTTTGAGTCTGTCCCCTTGACATAACACAGCCACATTGATAGACCAACACTTGTGAGTGACTAGTCATCTTTCCGTCAAACGTTGCGGTGCATGATGGAGTTACAACACACATGCTTTTGAATTCAGAGTTTCCCAGCAGCGCACTCACTCATAATAGTTTGCTTTGTTGCTACTAACAGCAAAACCACCGCGGGGTGTTAAATCGCACTTGAAATTAACACCTGCATGGTGAGAAATGAATGTGTTCCACTTCCACCAGTCAAGCTGCTGACGTTTGTGCCAACAAGCTGCAACTTTTAACTCTGTTGATTTCACCCCTAATCGCTTTTCTAAAATAAAACACTCAAACAGTTCATGAAATTGATGTTGTCATGACAAATCCATTTGTTTTAATTGTGTCCTTAAATATCTTTAAAAATGTTTTTACATTTTGCTCTACAATCTATAAAGATACATGATCTTTCTGAGAGGGATTTCCCATCCCCCTGTCGTTGTCCATGCTTGATTAGCAGTAAGATCAGCCGTCGCACAAAGAGCGTGCTCTAAATATCCCTGAGCCCAGCTTGGTTTTCAACATCAGGGATCGCCTTCTCTTGTGGTCATCAGTGTATGCCTACACAGTTTCAGCTGGGACAGGGTTTGACGCTTCCTAATTGGGGAATTTGATCTGCCAGCAGCCCTCACATGGAGAGGCTGCATTGTGCTTACAGCCTATAATAAAAGAAGACAGGTCTGTACAGCAATTTACATTTGCAGAATTTGATGCTGTCTTTGTCACAAGGAGCACTTTTTGTTCTTGCTCGGTTTTAAAGAGGGCTTTGTAGTTTAGTCGTGGTTAATCATCAGCGTTTGGATGAAACAACACGTCAGCTGTGCTCTGATTGTTTTGATAGAAGCGACTGTTTTCATTTTTCTCTCTAAAACCTGTGTGGTGTTTTTGTTTGAAGCTCACCGGCTTCTTAATTAAAGGTTCTGTGTTTTTGTCTGTTTGGTAAAACAAATTAGAATAATTAATCTGAAAGGAGATGTAGAATGGAAATGTGCAGCAGTTGCAAAAAATCCTGAAGCACAATAAACACGGCTTAAAGCAAGTTCAGAGTAAGTCATCGTTACTGTGGGTTTGTCACTGCTGTTAGCACATATTCTAACAGAAACAGTGAGAATCTCACATTGTTCTATGAATTTGTAATATGACAGACTTGTATAATAAGTCATTCTAGGGATGGGCGATTGAGTTCACTCGATGTATCGCGGGTTGTTACGCATGGGATATATAAAATGACTATCGCTAACGCCATTTGATGTGACGTCATTTTTTTTAAGCCACTGGCATGAGACGTTTTGTTGTCTTGCTCTCCCTCTTGCAGACAAAAAGAAAAAAAAAAGACTCACACCATAAGTCACACGCATTCCCCCGCCCATGCAGACCACACACTCCTGGGATAGTATGTAATCAAGAGAGGCGTGTGTTTTGCATCTGCAGGGCTGCAGACCACAACTATGTAGTCACATTTTGCAACCATGGAGCACCAGTGCAACTTGCAAATATTATTAATGTATGATTGGACAGCTGTTAGTTTGTCTCACTCTCACAGTGACTAAACCTTCATGTTTAACAGCGCTGCGGTAAAGTTAAACTTTCCATGAACTGCTAACAGCTAACTGTTGACCAGAGGCTTCAAGTTCACAGCATAAAAATTAAGACTTCTGGCCCAAGTCGAGCCGTGACCTTCAGAATAAAAGCGGCAATGGTTCCACTTTGATTTATTATTTCATTATAACAAATGCTTTGTTGATCTTTATGATAACAGTATTCAATTTTACTTTATTATAACAGTACTTTATTTAACTTTATTATATAACTATAGCTGCTTTATTTAACTTCATTGTAACAGTAGTTTATTTTACTTTACTGTATAACAATTGCTATTTTATTTAACTTTATTGTAACTGCAGTTTGTTTTAATGTATCATAACTGTACTTTAGCTTTATTATAACAGCACTTTATTGTACTTTAGTACCTACTTTATTTAATTTTATTGTAACTGTAGTTTATTGAAGTGATTAACTGTAACTGTAGTTGATTTAAATTTATTATAACTGTATTTTGTTATGCTTTATTAAAACAGTACTTTATTTTACCTTAATATATAAGAATAGCTACTTTATTCAAGTTTTTGGGAACTGTAGTTGATTTAAATACCAGTACTTTATTTTACTCTGTTATAATAGTACTTTATTATACTTTATTAAAACAGTACTTTATTTAATTTATTATAACAATAGCTACTTTATTTAACTTTATTGTAACTGCACTTTGTTTAAATGTATTATGACATTATTTTATTTTACTATATTATATAACGATAGCTACTTTATTTAACTTTATTATAACAGTATCATATTTAACATTATGTAACAGTAGCTTCTTTATTTAACTTAATATAACAGTATATTATTTAACTTTATTATATAAAAGTAAGTTCTTTATTTAGCTTTTTTGTAACATTAGTTTAGTAATTTAGTATTTTAGTATCTACAGTAGTTTAGAGAAGATTTTAAAATATCGAGATACATAGTGTGTGTCACGACATAACCTAAAATATCGCAGTATTATTTATAGACCATATTGTCCAGCACTAAGTTATTCTCTTTAGATTCTAAAACATTTATTCTGCATTGTTGTGATACTCTGTGAATGTCACTGTGATGCACATCAGGGGATTAGCCTTAAACCTTCAATGTTTTGTTTCTCTCTGTGTCTGTGTCTGCCTTTTTGTGCACCTGCTTTTGTGCGTAGCTCCGGTCTGTGTTCTGCTGATGTTAAAAAAATTCTTTTATTCTAAATATTCTGAGTGCTTTGGTCTTGGTTAATAGTTGTATCGTTGCTTCCACAGCTCTACACTGGTGATCTTTTTTTCAGTGTCTTAACCCCTTTTGTTTTCAGAGAGTGATGCAGAAGAGACAACTGTAGCCCCGACTAAAGGGGCTGAAGTGAAAAGAATTACAGGTAGAGGCACTGAGACCCTGCCCGTTTATACTGGGTGACTGTCAAACTGTCAGCTGGGTGATTTTACACTGGGCTAATAAGGTTTTTTTTTTTTCATTGGAATATACATCTCTGCTAACGCAACAATGAAAGCTTTACATTTTTACCACTTTCATCCACCTATCATCATTTGTTTTTTTGTGTTTTATTACCAAAAATGTTTGTGCTCATTCACTCATGCAGTTCTTATGGTTAACTTTCAATATACTACTGTCATGTAATCACAGAAACACAATGGGGGCTTTCTGCAGTTAATTTTCCACTTCATTGGGCTTTCCGCCTTTGAATAAAGATTGAGACTTAGTAGCTTTAATCCCAGTAGTCTGAATTATAATTCTAACCGCTCCTTCTCCTCCTTCGCTTCTTCTGACTCTGTAATGTCTGGCATTTGCAGTTGGCTTTGTGTTCAAGTCCAATGCTGCCCCATAACAGACTGACCTCAAACGCTGCTAACTGACCATTTTGTGTTTCAGAAATGGAAACGGACATCGCCGTGGGACGAATAGTAGGCTCAGGTACATCTGTAGCCCCACCAATCGAACCCCCCCACTCATCCTTGTTGTACCGCCACCATTATAAGAAAATGGCAGAGCCTTTTAAAACCCTGCGATACTTCAGCAGCCACATTTGGGTTGAGAAGTTTATAATTTTCAAAAACAAAAGAGCCAACTTTGTCAGTCAGGTGTGTTCTTAACTGGGAAAGCAACTGAATTTGGTACCCATGACAACTAGTGAGGGATAAAACATCTGCTCAGTCATGGTCCTTCACATGAAGCTGCAGTGTGATACAACACTGCCCTCTGTTGTCTTGGCTCAGTAACAAATGGTTGGCAAGTGAAGCAGTCTGCAGGAGTTTTGGTGCATAATACTGTCAGGTTCCACAGACCGACATTTGTCGTAATGGTAGGACCCTGCCGCTTTAATTTCTCCCCAGCTGTCGCCTCGACTTGGCCCTTTGGCTGCTTTATGCTTCTCAACAGAAACATAACGCACACACACACACTCACTCGCTCATCTTGGCTGCCATGGCAAAGTCCCCATCCTCCAGGGCAGTGCTTGGATCCTTCCCTAACCAGCTGTCACGCATTCCCATTGTCCTTTTCTTTATCTTTCTCCTCCAGCTTCTTCTCTGTGAAGACAAGATCCGCAACCACAGGAGTAATACCACGCTCTTCCTACTTTCAACTAATGCTCATGTTAAACATAGTTCTCTGTCATGCTAATTACAGCATTTCACTGACAGACATTGTTTAATAGACTCTGTAATTATAGAATGTAAGACATAGATACTCAAATGACATCACCGAGAATAAAGTTCTCATTTCTCCAAAAATATTTTTACCTCTGTGCTTCTCTGTCTTCTACCTCAACGCTTCACCAGGCACCTATTGGCCACCCCTTTGGTTGTCCATAGGTGATCTCTAACTTCTTTTCTAACTTTATTTTAAACTCAACAGATTGTTTTGGCTGGCTTCTCCCTAACCTTGCTTGTTTGTCACAAATCCTTAATTCTAATGCTTTTATTTTCTTTTACATTCGCCATTTTGTTTTCCCTGTGAACGATGCACAGGTTGTTTACAACTACAGCCAATGAGCTGATAGTTGCAATTATGTACATTGGATGAACAGTGCTAATGATTCAACCATAGAAAGTGTCCACATGCTGTACTTTTTGTCTCTTTTTCTCTGCATTGTAGAGCTGCGTAGTAATTTCCTCTTCTCTTTCTTTTCCAGTGTATGATAAGCAGGGTTTTCTGCTGCAGCTGGACACAAAACTGTGAGTACATCTCGTTGTAGTAAACATTTGTCACGTTTAGCAACTCTCCATCATGTACTGTGTGGGATATTTCTAGTTGTTATATTTAGAACAGCTGAATTCCCAGTTACTTTGACTCCATTAGTTTAGGTATGTTTTACAGCTTGTTCTAGTGAGCACTTATTCATACACGTTCCGGTTGATCAATGGGGAAACATGAAACAGGAAAACGTAAACCTTCAGCCGATTAATCTCCCTCGATGTTTTTAAATAAACACGTTACATCTCATTGGAGTCCAAACCAAAACCTGGTGACAAATGCACAGATTTAATTGGTGGTCTGAGTAATACACGAAGAGATTTGTGTGAATTTGTAGTTGGTGTTTTCGCTATTATTCCAGAGCGGCTGTGGTTTGTCAGGGCGAGAACATGCTACATTGAGTCATTACACAGCCGTCATTGTGTCAGCGTGTCTGTTGATACGTGTATAATTCCCTGAATTGGTTTGACACTCTTGCTCTAAACTGCCACGATAAGGGCCTTTCTCCGGTCCTCCCATTACCATGCGGGCAATAATCATACACTCCCATCACCACCCCGGCTCCCACAGGGCACGTCTGTCTGCACTCTGCTCACACACTGTAAGCACTATGTCAGCACACACTTTAAGGTGGTTTTCACATGGCTTCAGTTTATCTGATGCAGCTCCTTACATTATATCTACAGCGTCATATATTACTCCAGTAGAGCACATGCAGACAAGCTTGCAATTCATCATAAAGCTGGTAATTAGTTTTGTGATTTGTAATTTATTTCTGCTGGTGGTCTGACTGATTGGATTGGATGGAAAAGTGCCCCCAAGTTTTCTTTCCCACCAAATCCTGTACCAGCTTGAGGCCAGTTGAGGCCAAGCTGCAAAGAAACAGCATTCTAGCATAGAGAAATTTAAAGGGTTACCTAACCCCCTAAATGACCATTGTTGTATCAGTTACTCACCTCGCGTTACTAGGGGTGTGCCATATCATCTCGTTCACGTGATACCTGCAATTTTTTGACTTGTTGACATATTGATGTCATATTGTTACCCATGGCAACAACAAGCATGTTTGAAAGCAAAAGTATAACCGACTCCGCAGTGGTTCCAAAAAGAGGAGCAGCTTCAGTAGTGTGGAATAAACTGTGGCGTCCTGAATGTTTTACGAACAGCCCCGGACTTCTCAGACTCTTTTAGCAACTTACTACTCAGAGGGAACTCAGTCAGCGGCTCCTCTGGCAGCAGCACAGCATCATAAAGTGATTAAACTTTTGGTAACATAAACCTATGTAACGCTCGTGTCTCGACAAAAAAACCTCCATATATGTGAATGTGCGATAGTTGTGGTATCATAGCAGCCTGTCGCAGCAGCCTATTTTTTCGAGGAGAAATGGCAGAGCATAAAGGTCCAGGTGGAAAAAAAAACAACTGAGTCATTTAGGATTTTGCTAAAAGAAGGAAATCACCTGTTGATTTATATATATATATATAGATCCCAGGGGGCATTTTTGTGTTTGGAAACTGTTTAAATGCGTAATTTGTGGTAGATTTTATTTAGTTGAAGTATTAATATTGTATACAGAATCTGAATCTCACTCTGAGTTACTGTTGTTTATAAACGTAAGAAAGGAGAGATCATTACTGTTTAGTTTTTACTGAATATTTAAAGCCAAACTGTTCGTCTTGCACAGTATAATCCAAGTCTCATTTGTCCAGTCGCATGCTAAACACTTTCCAAACAAACGGCCATTTCTGTAGGAAAACTTGATTAAAAGTGAAACTTATTTCTGCTTGTTATTTCTTATATCTGCTATTTCAAAGCCAGACTCCACTGAGGAAAAACAGTTATTTTACCTTGCTGAACATGAGAGCTTTTGGTCTACTGCTGCCCTGATCATTTAGTTTGTTTGTATTGTTGTGTGACCTTGGTGTTTTAAAGGGTTTGTTCAGATTCATCAAACTCACACAATAACAAAAACAAACAACCGATTGAGGCAGCAGTAGACCAGCAGCTCTCGTGTACAGCAAGATGAAATTACTATTTTTGTCAATGGAGTCTGGCTTTGAAGAGAGCATAGATAAGTTTCACTTTCAGTTCAGTTCTCTGTCATAAAGGGCAGTCTGTTTGGGAAGTACTGAGTGTATGATGGATATATTAGACTTGGATCATACTCCACGAGTTATGTTAAAGTTTGTAATCGAATGCTTTGATATAGTTTTGCTGTTGTTAAACATGGTCACGTATGACTTCAATTCCTCAAGGATTTTCTCAGTTATTTGGTTCTTTATTCTCTGGGAGCACGCAAGAATAAAAGTTTACTCAACGTAACACGAGGTGAGCAATTGATACACAAATTATTATTTGTGGAGTGAAGTATTCCCTTGATATATCAACATAGAGGAGCTCCAAATTGTGCACAAGAAGCCCCAGTCGACAGCTTCTCCTGCCAGCTCTGATTTCGGGCCTCACATAGTGCTACGACTCAGGCCTCCCTCCCTTCTTGCTGTTTATTTGAACTAGATTCATGGCATACATCAGATTATTAATGATCATTCTAGTAATCGGGAGGTTCTAGTTTTAGCACTGCCAGTGTGATTATTTGAACAAGGCCCCTCTGCTTTGTCTCGCCACACACAGGTGATCCTCTGAGCTGTTGCTGAGCTCTCCAACTTCCTATGCAACCAGTTTTTTTCCACCTATATCTCAAGCAGATTGTTTGACAAGTTCAGTTTTTGGGGCTTAGAAATGTGTCAGTGTAATTGATAATCAGTTATCACAATGTGTCTGATTAATCGCTCTCCTCTGTTCTTTCAATGTACAGGCCACCAGAGTTGGCATACAAGTACGGCAACCTCAGCGAAGGAGTGTGCAAGCCAGGATATGCAGCAGCCAAGATGACCACCATCTATCCTAAGTGAGAAGGATCACCCTTTTTCTGCACATAATTTCACATAACAGTGTGGGGATGCAGCTGGATGCAGGCACACTCCTTTTAATCTTCACATGCAAGCTTCGCAAACAAATCATTTTAATTGGATGTCAGCGGGAGAAAAGCTAAAACTGTCACTCGAGCATACCAAGACGCATGATGTCACTACTCAAGCCAACTTGGCCTTAAGGGTTTTGAGTCAGAAACAGAGAAGCCCCCACATTCCTCTACAATCTTTCCCAGTTTCAATCATGTGTCTATCATGTTCTCCCCCACTACAAACCCCCGACTGTGTCCTTGTGATCCCCCTGTTACACAAAAGAACGTTTGTCAGGCGAGTACAAGGTCTCCCATCTTTCTCCTATCACATCCAAGAGCCTTAGAGGCCTTTTCTGTGAACGACACCAACCAACTTCCTGTCTTGACTCATCACGAGCTTCCTGATACCCAGCCTATACAGTCCACACAGTCCGCCACGGCCCTCACTGATGTCATTGGCTCTTTTGATTTTTCTATTTGCCTCTATTTGCTGTCCATCTCAGCTCAATCTATAGGCCATTGTATTATATCAACAGCATTCTCAGAGCTAAGCTAATAGAGGGGCACTTTGCAGCATTGCTGAACAATAGCCAGTAGCACTTCAATGCAGCACTTGAACTAGTTATGGGACAAATTTGTCCACCCATCTCTAGGAATAAGTATTGAACATGATTTATCCACTGCCTGAGGATGCCCAGTAATGTTCAGTACTTAATAAAATACACTATCAGGTCAACAATACATTTCACAAAACTTTTTTTTTTTATAACTTAAATATATAAACATATGTTACATTTTGAAGTATTTTTAATCACACCTTTATATAAAATCCTGCTACCTACTTCCCTACAGGGCTCAGGCTGTTCACTAGTAATACTCCTACTCTTGACTGAAAAGTTTAGGGGCACCAGCACAAAATTTATTAGCATCACTTTAAATCAATGTGCAGCACATTCATATTATTTCAGTCTTAATTATATTACTCATAAATGCTAGTAATAAATAGACAAATTACAGAATCAACAATGTACTGTTATATTTTAAAGAAAAAAGTCACATACTCTGATTACTGGTGTTTACATCTCAGGTATTAAGAAATGTAGATATTACATAGTGCACAATGTTGCACTTTAATTCTGGCAATTTTATAAATAGATATAGTAGTAAAAATGCTTAATTTAACTCCGTATATAGTCACAGTTTTTTGTTTTCCAAACAACCCAAAATCAAAGAATAAAGTAATTCCCCTCACAATTTAATGGGATTTCTTAATTTAAAGAGGTAACATGTTTTATACTTACTGTGAATGAAATCCATTTAATCTTATTTCCATATCAGTATGTATTTTATACTCCCGTGTTAACACCATATTTTAAAAAGTGGACGTAGTCACATGTATGTCCTGGGCCGTTTTAAATTCCTTCAAGATGTGAGTGACATTTAGTTTGAAGCAGAAACTAATGGTCATGATCCAAAAGTGGGTCGCGGGTCCATTCTGAATAGACTGCAACTCGTGAATGTGTCAGATTATTAAAAAAAAACCCACACACTTTATGTTGAAGTACAGTGAATTTCTGGCACAGAGCTTTTATTTTGAAGTGCCTTTTCCTTTTGTCAAGTGAATAACAGATAGCTACTTAACAGAGACACCAAACTAGCTCAACGACATGGCCAGATGCAGGTATGACTCTGAATATATTAAACTGTATGGACCTTGAACTAAGGACTAAGGAGAAATCTGGACCAGTTGGGAACCACTGCTCTAGACCACCTGAAAAGCACAGGTGGACGGGATTTAATCCAGCTTGGCTGACTGAGAAAAATATTACGCTTAAGCTGACTGTCACTTGCATTTCCTTGGTTAAACCAGCTGCCACTGCCATTGGAGACAGACACAGGCAAAGCAGAGCAAAGTCTCAATGAGTAGAACAGATGTAATGTTGCTCGTGCAGCAACGTACACATGACACCAATTCTCTTGGTTGATTTTAAAACACAAAACAAATAATAATTAAAAAAAAAAACGGGGGGAATACTTGCAAGTCACACTGGTGGTCATTGTTATAAAATGTAGTGGCACTGTCTCCAGAAATGCGCAAAATGAAACTGAATGGTAGCAGTCTGGAGCCCTGTTCTTATCTAATAAAACTCTTTCTATCCCTGCCTGTGATATTCTGCTCCAATATTCCATCAAAATAAGATCCTTTAAACTGTCAAAGTGAGGCCATCCAAACCATATGACACAATATATACAGAAAATACTGACTGAATCACAAACACCATCAGCAGCACTGCCAGCTGTCAATTGCAGAGCGCTACTTACCAAGACACACGAAGCAGTTTTGTGGAGCTGCCCTCTACCTATCTGAGAGGCTACGTGTTAACAACGTCCTCCCTCCTAATGACTTCCTCTAATCAGCCGCACGTGTCGGATCAAAGTTCTGCACAACAAAGAACCCCCACAGGGAGCCCACTGATTACTACCACCTCCAGCCCAGCCACACATAGGTCAATGAGCTCAATTAATGCTGCACTTTGTGTAAGTTTGTGTGTATGTTTGTGTTTGTATGCATGAGTTTAAGTGTATGGTTGATCCTACACAATTAAGCAGTTTGTGATTTATCATGTCCTGTGTGGGAAGGAGTCAACCAATTAAGATAGTGTTTGTTAACTCCGTCTGCTCTGTATGTTTACCAGGCCAAAACAAACTAATTTAAAAGTCCTTGTTAGCATTTTGTTTAAATAGGTGTGGCCTACAGTTCAGCTGTTAGAGAAAACCTACTTAACCTCTTGCAGTGAGGTCCTCTCCCTCTAATCATCTCCTGCTTCCTCCATGTTTGTCTTTTCTGAAGCCCCCTGCCCTGCAGAATCCAATTTATTTTCCACACCTCCCCTCCCCTCCACTTTACCCAAAACTGTTTGTATTGGAGCCCTAAATCAAGTGTTGGCAGTGAACTTGGAGCAGCACGGTTATGAAAATATTGCCCGTGAGAGATGGACCCAGCGAAGGAAATGAGCACAATGCTTCCCTGCTTGCTGGCTGTTTTTGGGAGCCCTCACTTTTTATTTAACAACAAGCAGCCCCCTGTCTCTCTGCTTTGTCAGGATGTCAGTGACTGACTGTCGGTCAGGGCTCAGTGACTTCCAATGGTCCCGTGTTATTTATAGCCTCTCCTGGCCTCAGAATTCTTGGGTTTAATGAATCTCCATTTGTTTTGGCAGGACAGCAGTCTGTGAGTGTGTGTGTGTGTGTGCGTGTGTGCCCCTGTCAGGTGATGTGAGGAGGGGAGAGAGTCTCCTCTAGAGTCCTCTCTCAGCTTTCATGCTTTAAACCTGGAGGATAATGAGGGTATCAAAGACCGATTAGGGTGCTTGGATGAGGTTTAAGCTAACCGGAAGGCCTCCCAATAATGTCGGCCATGTTTGGTCATTGTGGCTCAGAGCTGCGCATATTTCTTGTGAACCCATGGCAGTGTTATGGGAACAAGCTGTCCAAGATTCCTGCTGAGAAACAAGGGAGCGTGATGGTGCTTGTATATCCTCTCCTGATTCCAGTTTAAAATGCCTTTGCTAGTTACTGTAGCCTGTCAGCTGCGGGAGCTGTAATTTATGGTCGGTGAGAGAGTTTGTGTGTGTGACAGCCAACCATTAGCCCCTCAGTGAGATGCAATAGTTATCTCGCTAGTGGTCTGGCTTCCGCTAATCCATGCAATTGTCTTCTGTCATGAACAAAATAATACACACCAGCTCAATAGATCTCTCCAAGGCGCCTTGCTCTGTCTTGTCTGTGTGTGCGTCCTGATTGATTATTTAGGTCTGACACAGAAACACACAGAGCGCCACGCGTGTTAACGCCAGAAAAGAGACGACGAGAGCAACTGTCTCTCTCTCCTCTTGTGTCCGTCCCCTCCTTTTAGTTTGACAGCAGGTCATAAAAACACACATTCATCCTGGAGCCACGCTTACAGAAGTGGCACGTAGCCCAGCGCTCGGGTCGCAGGCGTGACTGAGAGGAAATGGCTTCTTTTGATTTTAGAGCATCAATTAATCAAAGAGGGACACACACACATTCATACAGACACACAGGATGAGGAGGAGGCAATGCTGGAAGTAGCAGTTAATGGGGCATAAAAAACACTGGTCATAAACTTCTTTTTAAATTTCAAACTTTTCAACCTGTCAGGATGACTTAGTTCTCGCTGGAGTAGTTTCTCTGTCATGTGAATTTTCTGGATACTGTATTTTTTCAGAGACAATAGTGAGAACTACTTCCTGCACTCTAATTCAGTTTGTAGAAACTGTCTCGCCCCAAATCATTTGAGGAAAAGCATCCTGGCAGGAGCAAGTTGTCCCAGCAGATTTATCAAAACCGTGTGTCAGCTATGATTTAGACTTGGGTGGAGAGGTTATGTTGATGGGTTATGCTCTGCAGCCGCTAACTGTGTCGCTCCCTGCCTCTCAGATTTTATTACCCACTTAGTTTTTAGCTTCTTTGCTGAGTTCAGGCTCCACTTGTTTTGGGGAGGCTTTAGCAGGGGAGATGGGGATTAATGACAGGGAAACAAGTGATTTTGTTTATCACTTTGTGGCTTAAATGTTGACCAGGTCATTAACACTTTTGGCCCAGATGGAGCTGAGATCACAGGGTCTCTCTATGGGGAGGAGAAAGGTGTCATGGTGGAATGCTCACAAAATAAGTAATATCTATTTCTTTTTTCTCCTCGTTGCAGGTTCGTAAAACCAGCACCCATGTTTCTTGATCGGAACTTCAAACGTCTTGGAAAAGTCAGCAATTACTTACCTCCATTTGGTTTCAAAACGCAAGGTAAGAACAGTTTATTCTACCTAGTACCTATCACTAGTGACATCTACTGTACATTCATAAATAATGTGCTCAGGTGTGGTGTCCACAAGAACATAAACACTGGTAACATTTTGATCTGTTGTGTTAAAGCTGAGATGATTTATAGTTTTGTATTGAGCTCCCCACATTACACTTGGGTCAAAAGGTGATGAAATGAAAAGTAAGGGCTGCCAGCCTCCTTCTTCCTTATCATCACGCACCAGTTGGCGTCTCATTAGATTTGGTCTGACTGGTCACTGGAGTGAATATTGGAAAAACAAGAAAAATATAATTCAGTATGATCCATTAGTCTACACTGTCATGTAAATGCTTAAAGAGATATCACAGGATGTTGTGATAACCACACATTGTTACTGCAATATTCAACTGGCCCTATACAAAAAGTTATACATGAATTTTTAATTGACTGTATCAGTATGTTGTGGGCACTCATTTCCCTAATAAAGAGGCAAATCGGCTAAAAAATGTAATTTAATTTAAAAAACCTTTACGGGGGACCTATTTGTCACCTTTGGCGCATGTAGTGTGCGACACATCAAAAGCTGTGATTGGCAGCCAGTGTGAGGGATGATAACATTTAAAAGGGAAAAGAAAATCCACTATTTTTATTACCAAGTTATAGTTTAAGTTATGGTCTACATATTAACAGGTTTTTAATCTGTCATTGAAGTATATGCTACTGGGTGTTGAGTTAGATCCAGTTATTCTAAATACTCTGATTTAAACTTTTGCCTAACGTTGGGCAACAATAAGATTCATTTTGAATGTTTGAATGGTGCTGACCATCAAAACTGCTGCTAAAAGTACTCACTTGAAAAATGTAGATGTTAAGAAGCAGCAGTGTTGCATAACTGAGCCATGTTGTGGGCTATGTATTTCTTCCTTAAGAGGAGTGTGAAACATTTGTTTCACAGCTTCAACATGATGTTTTTTAGATGGGTTAAGCAAAGTGCATCCATACAAATGTATTATTAACAGCTTAGTTGTTTAAGAGAGGGGAAAGACACTATGGAATTGGTGTTGGTACCAACAGATTCGCAAGGTTGCAGTATAGATATTGGGATTGGACATGTACAAGTGGTTTTCAGCCATCCTTACCTCTCATACTGTATCTGCTTGTGGCATCACTGATGCAACATGTGAGCCTTATTAACAAACTGCCAACGTCTCTTATGAGACAAATTCTGTAGCCTGATACTCTGGATTGTTTTGTTACTTTTTTTTTCAAATTGCTGAAAAGAATCAAGGATGTGGGCAGCGATTCAGAGAGGTTTTTTTTTTGTCCAAATACCTGCTCTTTTTAAACTCTCCTCAAGGTTTCGCTCTGATGGTTCAGCTGTGGAGAATGCCAATGTTATGCCACCTTGCACTTTTCATCATTTGTCATTGTTGGGAGGCTGTTTTTTTTTTTTTTTTTTTTTTTTCTTTGGCAGCACGTATTCTGCCTCAGGTTTGTTATTGCCTTGTCCTGAGTTGAGACAACAGGAGATGGGTCATCCATCACAGTATACATTTACAGTATGACACCTTTAGTCTTTGCCAAAGTTATGCTATCATTATATAGTAATGTAAGCATGAAGTGGTTTTGAAAACCCCTGCTATTGGTTTATTCATGGTCAGTCCAACATTGAAGATTTTAGTAGCAACTGCTGGACCGCAGCCTTTTTTAAATGCAATATATGACCTAATGTCTATCTCACATTATTCATTACTGGTTATTGTTTGACTTCTGAGTAGGGATGGATTCCAATAGCTGGTTTTATTTTAGATCCGTCTCCTGGCTGGCAAAAAACTCAGATTCCTCAAGCTATGACGTCTACACTTCTCTATCAAACATTTGATCTCCCTGTACTCTTTTTTTTTTTTTTTTTTAGCAATAAGCAACTGAAAACATAAAGGCAGCAGGCTTGTCTTTCTTAGTAGATTAGATCTGATGAACTAATAAACAATTATTATGTAACCGTTTAACTGAAAAGTTTGGGTGTTCTGTGCGCTCCCTGCAGCTGGTGTGTCTTTTTGCTCACAAACAATCTTTGGCTGAATACGCACATTACTGTGTAACTCTGCTGTACACAAGTGGAGTTGTTGTTTTTGTAGTTCAACAATGACCAACAGAGCGTGAACTCTTCTATAGAGAAACGATCTAGATGTTCACCTCATGTCAATTTAAGAATCTCCCAGTTGAAGACTGAACTAAACCAAATGGTTCTGAATCAGGTTTTCAGTATTCAGCTCAGTGTTTGGAGTAAGTAGCTGGTGCAGTACAGTAAGCTACAGCTGCCGATTGGATGTGTCAGATACATTTAATGAACTTGTTATGTCTCTGCGCCGGTGACAGCCATGGCTGGAGGCATTATGTTTTCTGGGTTGTCAGTCCGTCCCACTCCTGTGAAGGTGATATCTCAAGAATGCCTTGAGGCAATTTATTCAAATTTGGCACAAATGTTAGCTTGGACTCAACGATAAAGTAGTTACATTTTGGTGGTCATAGGTCAGAGATCAAGGTCACAGTGCCCTCCTCTGTCTCAATCTTGTGAATGTGAAATCTCACCATTCAGGATTTTTTTCAAATTTGGCACAAATGTTAACTTGGACACAACTATGAGCTGATTAGATTTGGATGGTCAAAGGTCACTGTGACAATCATAATGTTTCCTGGCCGGATTCAATGAGCAGATCTTAATTTATTAAAAACCTATTGAACCCTCTGCCTGGGAATCAGACAAATTTGTGAGCTCATGTTTTATTGGCTCTAGCAGATGGGTCTGGTTCCCCTCCCGTTTAGAGTTCCAGCTGACCTGGCCTTGGTCTGGCCAGTCACAGCAGTTTATCTAATATGGGGCATTTTAGACGGTGACTGATAACTTACGTAGCCTTCACAATTAAAACAAGAATGTGATAACGTCATTTTTTGCTGTTGCACACTCACTCCAGGGATACTACGCCTACTGGAAATTGACTGGACTGAGAGTTTTCAGACTATCTCGCATTTCTGATATGGTGTAGCAAAGTCAGGCTGTCTCTGGGTTCATCCAGTAAAGGCGCTGTAGTTTGAACAACAGCCCAAGAACCAGTAAAAAAATCCACCAGATGATGTGAAAAGATTTGAGCAGGGAGATCTGGGCACTGGTAAGATGGAGGAAGTTCATTTACACACACTACCTACATTGTTATGATGAAAAGCTGGTTAAAAATCTGCAAAGTATCCCTTTAAGAAATGCTTTTTGACAGTTGACTTAATAACATTAATATTTGAGCATCATTGAGCACATTGCCAAAACAAGTTTGGAGCTAGAGATTATTTCAGAAAGGAGGACTTGTGAGACGATGTGTTGAATCAAAATAATCCTGTATTTTTACTTTTAAAAATGGGCCTTAAAGGAAAGCCCTTTTCAAACCTGGAATTCCCCAAAGACTGTGTGTGTGTGTTATTGTGGCAAAATGCCATGAAACTAATCTGCTGTTTGATGTATCAGATATTTACCCCTGGCCAGTTTTTAGCTTAGCAGTCTGGCTGAACCAGTGTTGTAACTTCTGACCAGGCTGAAAAAAGACTTGTTATACAGTTCATAATACTCTGCCCATAGGTCAGAATATATGAAATTGTCAGTTCATTTACCATCTCGGCCCAGAAGGCTTCTGTGTTTGTCATAGTAAAACCCTCGTCAGTGATGTTCTCTTGTTTGCGAGATGAATTCTATCTTGGGAGGAGGGAGCTTGCATGTCTCCCAACACTCCAACTTTAATGTTTCCATACACAGTGCTTGTACTTGTTCCCTGACCTTAACACACTCCAGCACTTTAGATATCAAACCAGTACACAATGCCATGGGAAGTGAAGAGATAACATTAAGCTGGCTTCAGTGACATGCTCTGTCACATTTTCCAATACTTGCAAGCAGAAGGTACAGTGAATGTTACCTTTGTGCTCCGGCAAGTTCCTCCACTGTCATATGAACACACACACAGACACACACACTGTCTCAGTCGCTATCAAAAGAGCACTCCCTGTGTGAGTGTTACACCTGGTTTCTGTTTTCTCCACGGACCGCGATGGCAGCGGGGTTTCCCTTTTAGCGGTACTCATGTGGAGAGATGATACGTGTGGATCTTGAATAGAACGCCACAAAGGATTCCAAATTGGGAACATGGAGCTGTGGTGGTGGGCGGGAGGATTATTTTTACTTTTTATTTTGCCAGGAGGTATCTCTGGCACACATCACCCACAGCAGAGAACATTAAAGCTGTGTTGATTTGGTCTCAGAGGGGGGGAAAAAACATACTTATCAGCACGGCAGGATGCCAGTCAGCCACTGAACGGTCAATTTAAGTATTGTAATTTAAGTTTTGCATGAATTGTTAAATGTTATTCTCACTGTATGTAGAATGTTCTCTCTGATGTTTTCCTGCAGTCCAAAGTGACCTTAGTAAAGCTGTTAGCATGATGTTCAGCAGCCAGAGGCCTATATAATTAGAGAAAGCAGAGAGTATTTTAAATTATGTTTGACAGATTTGCAGAAAATCAACATTTGCTCAGTGCTTTACAATTTGTGTCAAAGCCGTTCAACTGCTTTTACTCCACCCTTCCCTACAATAGACCCATTTTTGTCTTTTTATTTTTTAGGAGGGATAGGGGATCTTAGATAGCAGGTCAACCGTATACTTCACATAAAAGTGGTATAAATCATCTGAAAACTGGGAACCTGAAGATTAATTTGAGATGCAGTTCAGCACTAGTCATAAATGTGTGCACAAAATAGGTAAACACTGTGTTCTGGTAAAGTGTCTATTCAAACTTTTCAAGTGTATAGGGGCTTACAGCAACATGATGGAAGTATATGATGGCTATTCCCATGAAAACCATGACCATAAATACAAAGACCTTGAGGAACACCAAAATAAAAACCCATGCTGTGATTTGGTACAAAAACTTTTGACATGCTGAGATTTCTGTAAGAACTGCATATTTTGGTGATTGGATGGGGAGCACTTCTGTTCTGGAACCTGCTGAGAAACCCCCTTTGTGTTACCCTGGAAATCCAGAGTTCTCGCGAGAGTGAGAGTAAATGGCCTTACCAGTTTTTCCTTCACCAAAATTTTGCCTAACTTTGAAGCGTTATTCAACCTTCTTAAGGTCAAGCCAGCATAACATGGTTGGTACCTCAAACTTGGCTCGCTATAGCCCCCGAAAAACAAGAATGTTGGCAGAGAATGCTGGCGTCCTGGTGGTTAAAGAGGAATGATGGTGTATTGAACCTCCTGAAGTACAGTTTGCAGCACTATTTGTAACTTATGCCCTTATCAGTTAATTCAGAGGAGCTGTGAATGATATTCCTGGGTCATTGGGTTCTAACTGTAGACGTATTTGTCTTTCTCGCTTGCTCACCAACTGAAGGCACACACACACACACCATTACGCAGTTATACACATACTTTGGAGGAGACATGATTCAGCCAGAAGGATGCAACAAACTGATGCCAAAGATTTGAACTGGTATTGAATCGGAAGATGGTATCACCTTGCTCCCTACGGCTATATTTCAGGATTGTTAAATGATCAGTATCCTTGATAGATAAGTCACTATACTGCAATCAGATTGTCATTTTATGACCTTTCAGTTGATGGTGATTTTAAAAGGCTACCAAAGTGCAGGCCTGACAAATACCACTCTCTGATCACAATTCTTTTATATTGTTTAGGCTACACTCTTCCCAACAATGTGTCTGTGTTTATGTGTTACGTGATGCTTCCGACCTTCCTCTATGTTACCAGTAAAGATTTTTTTTTTTTTTTTTTTTCCAAGACTTCCATGTTAGACCAATGTCTGAACCAACAGCCATTCGTCTTTGGCTCCAACCACGAGACATACTTTCCTGAAATGTTTACCCCGAGTACTTATAACAATTAGCTTCCATGTCGTCCTCGGGAAGAGAGTCCTGCCCATTGTGATTTTTCACTTTTCACTCGCTTGGATCCAGGTGTGGTCCTCGGCCTTGTGTTTATGCTGCTCGGGGTGATGCTTGACGCCAGACATCGACACCACATCCAAACAATGGGCTGTTGCTCTGCTCGCCTCTCCTCAGCAGGTTAATCATTAGGATCGTTAGCCAGGGTGAATGGGGCTGTAATACGTCTTACAAACTGCTCTGAGGCCCCAGTCTAAACTCTCAACTTCTCACTCTCCCTTTACTCTTTCCTTTGCTGTTTCTCTTGGCCCCCCTTCGCAGACAGTGTGCTATATGGTGATTACATTAAGTGAAGTAAAGAGGGCAATGAAAATGCCTCTCATTTTTTAACAATGACTACGTTTACATGTACAAAAAAAAAAGGTTTTTGCCCTAATTTCGAAAAAGAAAAGATTCCTACTGAAGTGTTTACAAAGCTAATGACAATGAATATTCTGCTGATATTCCTGTTGACATGCAGCCATGCACACTCCAATTAACATGCCTAAAAATATGGAAAAGTGGAACAGGTGGAGCTGCTTTTCCCATTTTGCTTAAGTTAACTTCTGGTGTTGGACTTGTTGGACCATGTGAAGAGCCTCCCTCTCTGATTCCTTCAACCACCTTCTTGAAAAGGTGGGCGTTGCGATATTTGAGCATATCCAAAAACCTGTTTATACCAAAGTCTCTCTTAATGTTTAAAAGTAGGTATGTTTCTCTTTACGTCTGGAAATGTTGGCTTTTCTTTTAGGCAAGCGTCTCTACCCCACAGCCTTGCAAACTGGTGGGTAGTTGGTTTGTGTACAACGCACAGAACTGACTGTGAACAGACAAGCGGCTATGTGTCGCAAACTGCGGTAAATACCTCAATTGAGACACATATTCTAAATACGCTGTATATGGTTCAAAGAAGGCTCTCAAAACCTGAATGAAATTGGCATATCCCATGTGTCTTTAGGCTCATTTATACTTGTTGGCTTTTAACTGTATCACCAATTCCTTTAGTTCTGCCATGTTTGAAATGTCTGTCGTGTCCTACAGTCATGTCTCACTTGAACTACACAACACTGCCCCCAAGGATTCCAGTGGTATTGCTTTTTGTCTGTATCCGTAAGCTTTGACAAAACGTGCACAAAGACGGACAACATGAACGCGAGAGTACGGATAGAAGGCTTTGCCACTGTCTATATACGTTCCTAATGTTGAGCATAAACTAGCCTTTAATCGGAAAATGCTACATTCAGAATAAAGCCAGATTCAGAATATGTAAACGTAATATGCTGTTGACGTGACCACTATTAAATGTCTAATGTTACCATATTCAGAATATAGTGGAATATTAGTAGTAAATTTAGTAAGTGTGACGCTGGGAGACTTGTGGAATGCAAATAAAGAAAAGCTGATTAACCGCCATCACTAAACCAAGTGGTCTATCTTTGGTGCGTCTGTATCACTATAAATGAAACCTGGATCAAAGATAGTAACAATTGTAATGGAATCTGCACATTCAGGATATCGTCCTCGTAAATTATGAATGTTAGAGGGCTAAAAATGGTCAGGAGAGGAGAGGTAAATATGTGTAATATCTAATGCTGGAAGCGTGACTCTCGCAGAATGCCCCGTAGAACATGGCAGGAATGCATGCTATGGCTAAACATCCCCATTTCTCACCCTGCGATCAGACGGGGTGCTGGCCACGCAAGGAGACAAGCTCAACATCGCCCACTTAACCAGGAGAATGTGCTTGTTTGAAAACAGCATTCCTCTCTGAGTGCTTTTATGGGAGAGTTTCTACATACACACGCATACCATCCCGAACCCTGTATGTCTGTTTCTCGCAGATTCACTCCTCCCAGGAACACAACAGCTTTTTTCCCTCCGTAATCCCATCAGCACTCTTCCCGAGGGCTGATTGGTCACTCCTTATCTGTAACTGAATAAACGGAGAGAGGTGTTCTCTCCTCCAACTGTCTTAGGACCACCTAGATTGTTTTATCTCTAGTGGTATGTCCAAGTCCTTGGCAGTTTGTTATTCCTTTCTAAAGGAGCATTTCTCTCAGTTTGGGCTTTTCAGATATTTCATTTTCATTAATAGAAAACATCACTTCATCTGTGGTCATCTGTGAAGTGCTCTATAAGGAGGGCTTTAGGTGACTGATCCTGGTGGTAGTGCTCCATTATCCACTGTCAGATCATGGCTTTGACCCCACTCTGGAAGTATCTAGTCTCCCTTTCATTTCCAATAAAGCTGTTATCCACTTAGATATTTTATACACAAACTGCAGTGTGAAATACAATTACCTACAGAAGTATTTATATTTCTTACCCTCATCTAAAAAGTGCAGTGTAGGTGAAACTAAATGTAGTCCACTCATGGTGTTTATTTCTTTTTTTTTCCTCTGCAGAGAGAATCATAGACACCATTTTAACTGCCATGAAAAATTATGGACTTGGAGAAGAGCTGGACAGGTAATTATTGCCTCTCACCCACATTAACATGATGTTCTGTTTTGTCTGTCTATCATTCTCTGAAGGAAATATGTTCTAACTTTAATGTGAAGTATGTGAACTTTTATGAACTTTTCTGTCTGTTACATGAAATTCTATATAACCACTTTCATGGAATCAGTGCTGATGATAAATGTAGTCAAATGAAGCAATCATTTCCTCAGTGAGTGCTATATTGTCAGAGGAAGCTGAGTTCACCTGCTCACAGAGCTGTACCGGCAGTGCCTTCATGTACCAAGTACATTGCGTGCTAGCTACTAGTCTGTTGCTAAGACTTTGTTGGCCAAGACCAAGTGTTGATGCTTTCACACCTGCGCTGTTTGGTTTGGTTCAGTTGAACTCAAGTTCTGTTTTTCCCCTAAGTGCAGTTCTCGGGGCAGGTGTGAACACAGCAATTGCAGTCGGTAGCGCACCAAAACAACCGGGCCGAGACCTTCTTGAAGAGGTGGTCACGGTCTGGTTACAAACGAACTCTGGTGCGGTTCCTTTGTGGTGAGAACGTGTTCCGACCTCGATCTGAACCAACTGTAGTCGCATTACGCATTGTTTGGGTTAAACATGAGCATGGGACATTGTTTTCTAGTTGGAGCCGTGCCTCGTTTTCAAACTGTATGGTTTGACTAAAATGAACAATGACAGCAATATAGTCCACGATGAGCAGCGCTAAAATCAACCTGCGTAGTTGTCCCTCCATTGTGACATTAGAAAGTGTCACATTTATCTTGCAAGTGTACTCTTCTTCAACGCTTTGTTTACTTCCTGGATTTTTCCCGCATGGAAATTCTGACCAATCAAGAGCAGCTTTCACACACAAGGCATTTGATCTGGTCCGCTTGTAAATGCTGCCGTGAGAACACGAACCAACTCTAGGCAATTATACAACTTTGTAACAAAATCAGTCCCTGATTCAGACCAATGCAAGACAATTCTAGGTCTCAGAACACCCTAAACTGGTGTAAACTGCTTTGCTCCTTAATGTGTTTTACCTATCACAATAAAAGTCCAACTTAAATTACTTGAAGCATTTTGCTAAGAGGCAACAACAAAATAGCTGACGAAATATACTAAATTGTCATCTGCCTTCTTGGTCCTGCTGGTCTTGGTTGTCTTTTCTAGTTTATTTTCAGGATCCTGAAGACAGTCTCCAGCGCACCTCTATCCAAGTGGGGACTAAAGTGACAGTGACAGTATCCAACAAAAACTGCTCACACTGAAGGTTATTGCAGAAGACTGATTGAGTTTCTTTTAGCATTGAAAGGCATTTTGAGCAATGGCACCACTAGTCGGTGCATGCTCTCAGCAGCTCAGGTGCATGAGGGTCCCCACAGGCTGTATCCTCTTGCACGTAATGCAGCTGCAGCCTCGGCTTCTCTCCGCTGCATTTCTTCAGCTGTATAATCTGGCACGAATAAGGTCAGCTGAATATCTGAGTCAGCCTGAACACTATAAAATATATCTCCATCCATAACATCCTCTGCACTCATATTTTGAGGATGCCATTTCCGCTGTTGGAAACATTGCTAGTTTGTAATACAAGCGAACAGGACGAGAAAGTTCTTTCTTAAGAGCGGTAACTAGATTACGCGCCCTGGCTACCCTGAGGCGAAATCCAACCTTTAGTTTTTCGTTCCTCCAACAACATCACTGCCACATCGAATGATGCTGCTGGACACTGGAAAACCAACAGTCTTGCAGCTGCGAGCTCACCTTTCTCTGTCAATATAGCACACACTAGCAAATTTTCCCTGTAACGTTACTAACTGACCCCTCTGTCCTGCAGTCTCAACTGTAAAAGATGCATCATTGTGGGCAACGGGGGAATCCTGTTCAACAAGTCTCTGGGCTCCCGGATAGATGAGTACGATGTTGTAGTGAGGTAAGATGATGCTGGAGTAAATTAATTTTGATATGTGAATGGCCATCAGAACAATAGTATTGTGCATAAGCTATAAAATGTACAAGCCATAACTCTACAGAGTGTAAACAGTACCATGTGTGGTATTTGATGTTTCCTAATATAGAGAACATCTTATTAAATTACATATGCAGTACTTGATGAATAAATAAAAACATCCCAGGTGCTTAACTTCTGTGCCATGGGCTTTTCTTAACCCAGATTCCTCATACTGAAACATTTTGTTCTGTGCTGGCAGGTTGAACGAAGCCCCAGTGAGCGGTTACAGCAAAGACGTGGGGACCAAAACCACCTTACGGATTACCTATCCAGAGGGAGCTATCCAGAAGCCAGAGAACTATGAAAAAGACTCACTTTTTGTTTTTTCCGCTTTCAAACCACTGGATTTCAAGTGGCTCAGACAGATGGTCTTCAAGGAGAAACTGGTAAGGATCTTTTTTTAAATCATAAAGGAATGAAAGTAAAAATATTGAACATATAAAACACGCACACACAAACCTGAAAGATAAAGGAACAGCGACTCTCAGCTACTGACAGAGCAGAGGTGTTTCACATGTGTTTCATCAGGTTTGCCTCTGTTTGACTTGCACCCATTAAATTAGCACTGCAGAGACTTTCTACTTCTCTGGATGTCTAAATGTGTCTGAATATTTGAGTTACGTGTCTTGTTTTAGCAGAACATAGCAGTCTAACCTCTGATCACATTCTGTACATTCCTTCCTGTGGAAATGTAAGCCGTTTTTGTAAAGGGGTTAAGAGGACAGAGGGAATCTCTACTATATAAAGGGGATGTTTTAGATGGTTTGAATACCTAATGTGGAACGGACCGTTGAGAAAAACTAATGACTAGCACAGTGAATTGTCTACATGAAATGACACTGCCATTATCTCATGAACTATGTTGTTCCCCTCTGAACCTGTTCTCTTACTTGTTTGGATGTTGCTGTACCCATAATTAGACCTAATTCACCACATTACAGATCTTTTGTGTGTCCTGTGGAGCCTTATGATTGCCAGTTAAATGACAGGCTGTGAATTGGCCTTTTAATCACAAGGATCCAACTGAGTGACAGAGCTGGCTGTCTCTTATCTTTTAAAGTACAGTAGGCAGTCATATTTAATGACTCCTGTGTCCTTTTATATCCATTGTCACAAAAAAGCTCCCATGAGCACTTTCATTTTGTTCTTGTTGAACAGTCTTTAGTATCTCTTTGAGATTATTTCGATTCAGCTGCAGGACAGTGGGAGTGCTTGGTAAAGGCTTTCCACAGTCATTAAAATAAAGTTAGTCGTATTTTAAAGAAATTTATTTGCCCATTTACTACAGATCTTTACTTCCTTACGTTATTGCTGAACGTTTTAAAAGCATGGATTGTTAAATATTTGGAAGAAATTGTTATCACTTCATTATTTTCATGCAGTCTTTCAGCATTATTAAATTCCAAATATTTTTCCAGGCACTTTTCACACCAAATGCAAATAAATCGTGCAAATAAATCATGCAAATAAATCACACGTCAGTTTCAAAATTCAAGCCCATCTGCAGGGTCCAAAACTAACACTCGCCACTCGCCAGTTACGGGTAGATTTTGTCTCTGGCTGGTAAATTTTTAAGACCACTTGCCACTCTGGCAAGATATTTTTTTACCAGCGAAAAATGCATTTTTTTGTTACTGTAGAACGGTGCTGGTATCGGCTGGTTTCCTGGCAGAGTAATGTGTATTTCAGGCAGAGACGATCTTTGGTCACGTAACGCCAGGGCCACACCGCCCGCGGAAGCGCTGTGAATAGCCTTGAAGTGAAGCCAGTTTCCTTTCGGCGCCCATGTTAACCGATTGGGTCATCCACACCGGCTGCGGAGTTGCCCTGCAGTGATTGTTTCAGCGTCTGGTCTATTTTCTGCGCGAGCCGCGAGCGAATGTGTTAAACTGGGCAGTTATCCATGATGGAAAAACAGCCCCAAATGTGACGGAGACAACAGCTGGGAGCAGAACCGCTTGTCGACCGGCGTGGAGAAATGCGCGTCTGATGTAAACGGGCTCGCGCGAGAATTTCAGTGCGCTGCGATCGCTGCCCAAACGTACCTGAACAGCCGAGCACACAGGTAGGCTATGTGTTGTGTCAGAGGAGAAATGAGCCGTTCACATTTCTGTCTTTGTGGCAGGTAACCATCCACAAACCTCACCGCACTTTAGGGACTGTTCTTTACTTATGAAGGGGCTGTTCTTTACTTGTATGTTAATCAGTTGGTGCAGTTTCACTTAAGTAAAAAAAAAATGACTGAACAACTTTCACTTGTATTGGAGTAATATTTGACCAAGAGTATCTTTACTTTCACTCAAGTCATGTCATTGAATACTTTGTCCATCACGGGTCAGACATTCATGTTTATATAGGGCAGGTCCTGCTGTTGCAGTCTGGTCGAGCTAAAATGTTATGTCTCAACTGTCCAAAGGTGACTGAAGTCAGTGATTCATGTAAAATTCCTTAATGAAAGATTCTTTTTGCACTGTAGTAAGAATACTACAGAATTTATTAACCCAAATATTACACTTAACTGTTGAAACAGTTATTCATATTTTAGCATACATTATTACTAATATTAGTGCACACTATTAAAATATTGATTGAGAATCGCATACAAGACCCAAATTACTACACTTAAAAGCAATTTTTATTTGGTTGGCTGGTAAAATATGTGCCTGGCTGGTAAAAAATTTCACTTGCCAGCCAGCCTGGACCCTGCCATCTGTCTCTATGAGCCTATCCACACTAAATCTGAAATTTTAGTTTTTTCTCAAACCCATAAAATGGCGACTTTTGCTCATGCCATCAGTAGATTTTCTCAATGTCATAGTTCTCTTCATGGCGTCACACAACGATATGGATATTGATCTCACAAAATAGTGTCCTCTTTAACAATTAAAATAAAGATGATTAAACGACTATAAGACAACATCTGGGGAGGTGTAGCAGCTGATCTTGCTTGTGATGATGAGTAACTGACAGCACAAGGGTAAACATATGCATGATGTTACGCTGTGGGCGTTATTAGTGTCAGAAATTGCTTGTTGCTGTAAAAGGTATACTATAAAATCTGACCATATAGGACAAGTGAGAGTGTTATGTCAATTATATTTAGTATTACTGTAGTTATTACCAGCAATGGAAGCATATGAGCTCAATGTCTTTCCTTTAGAAATCAACTGAGCCCCTGAGTCCTGGTATTATTAGATGACCCTTATATTAAAGGCCATGTATCACAAACACATATGTATGTTAAACAGACTTGGACTCTGTTTAGTCTGGTCACGAATGATGCAAACCAGTGCAGTGAAGCTTGTGACAATAATATGGGGCCACCCATTGGAAATGCGACCACATTATAATTTTTCTACACCATATTGCACACCTGGAATAACAAGCCCGCCAGTATGTAGAGTTGACTGTGGGTTTATTATAGTAAAAACAACAATATATTGACGATGGTGTGACGGTGAGAATGCTTAATTTTTGATGGAGCGTACAGAATGCAAATATCTGCTTTGGCCTCGGTGTGAAAAGTCTGAAGCGAAAAATCGTCAACGAAGATTCTGTATTTTAGTTTTGTTTTTTGTTTCGCTCTTGGTTTAAAAAGGCCTTTAGACTGCAGTTTATCGTAAAATAACACAAAAAGTTTTCAGTTTTCAAAAGTAGTTAATTATATGAAAGCTACTGTAAGTAAGTTGAAGCCAATGGGCTAAACCATTCAATGACACTTGTACATTCCTTTAAGGTTGTACACAGGCAGAATAGCTAAACTGCCCCTGTCTAATCTGAATTGGGGAAACCTGCTCTGTTTCCAGCACAGCCGTGTGACTTTGAGGGAGCAGCTGGATTTTTTTTACAAGGTGACATTTGTCATAACAGTATGAGTGAGGGACGGGGGAAAAATACAGAGGAAAGGACAATGCCATTATAATATGGGATGGAAAGGTCATACGGTGTCAATCTGAAACTAAGACATGGTGTGAAGTCGGATTAAAGGTTGGGAGAATAGAGGAATGCTAGATGGAAAGGATAAAGTGAAACAGGGTACAGGGATAATAGCTGGGGAAAAGAAAATGAGCAGTGGAAGGTAATAGTAAAGTAAAATGGAGGAAAATAGCTCGCTTGGCTGGCTGATGGCCCCTTCAGCCTTTGATAGGGCCCAGATTTTTCTGGTGTGTCAGACGGAGAGGACAGTGGAAATGGCTGCCTGGGATAATTGATCTGGCCCCTGGCGTCCGACTCAGCCCTCTTTGATCTGCTGAGGAGGGAAGAATGTTTCTCATGGGTTAAAAATCGGGGAACAAAAAAAATCAGTGTTGTTTGGTTGAAGCCTTGATGATGATGATATGGAAGGAGAGAACGGGCAGATGTGCAAAGACTCATGTTTGACCTTTGATTAGTCTTTCTTTTCATTCATCTGTAATAGTTGTTTTTCTACCTTATAAATACATCATTCTATGGACACGTTTTCTGCGCAGTTTACTTCACATTAGTGACTGCACAACCATTTTTAGCCCTGCTAGAAGTGGTCCAAGCTCCAAGAATGGCAGTGTTGGTCAGTTGGTTTAAACTACTTCGGCCTGTTTGGTGTGATGGGCAGAGTTGCACTTTGAAGTGTTTTAGATTCTTGTTAAAAGTTATGTGAGTAAGGTGGGGTTACCTTCAAGGTTTTAGGGCAACTGAATTTCCCCTTTTTTATTTTGTTTAAGTTATATTTGCATGTTATGTAGCAGGTGTCAGGTTACACCTGCCAACTGTATCACCATGCAGGAGGAAGTGTGCATCTACTGCTAGCTCACCTAGCACCTTTGAGCTAGCTAACATTACAGCTCAGGCAAAGAGGACGCCATTAATGTTTACATCTTGCACTGTCTCAAGCATGAGCCTCTGATCCATAAGGTGGACACTTCCTTCTTTGATGATACAGATGGCAGGTGTAGTTCAGTAGAAAGAAAATAGTTCCAACATATAACTGCTCACAACAAGGTCTGTGGACTACCTTGAGTAAACAGGTCATGATCTCTGTAAAGAGACTTTGCTGTTGACATGTTAAATGTATTTTTTTGGCGCTTTGAGCACCACAAGCTGAGTGCCATCTAGTTCCATTATATTGGAGAGGAGGTAGACATCTCTACGGCCGATATCTCCAACACTCAGCAACTCACACCAAAACGGTCTAGACTGATAAACAGCACTACAGGTAAGAAGAAAAATGTGTCTTTTTATTTTTGGGGTGCACTGTCCCTTTTAAAAACGACACATTAACAGGGCAACAATATCTGTTTACAATGGAAAGTGGATTTTCAGTCTTAGCAACAACATGAAAGGAACTGAGGTCCTGTTAATAGATGGTTATCCTAGCTTCATTGTATCAGACTTACACCCAGCACAGACT